ATGGCTGTTGGTTCATGTCTTAGGGGTACTTAGAAATGATTTTTAATTTTTGGTTATTACCCTAAGAAACAGCCAAAATTACATTGTTTGCTAGGGATCTAAGTTCAGTATAGATGTTCCTTCCACTACTTACTCCGCGTGCCAAGCATCGTTGTCAGTCACGCAACACATGGGAGTTTCCGAAAACTTAGGGTACCTTATTCTGGGGTGCTTATAATAAGGATCCTACTATTTAGGGTACCCTATTGGGGTCCCCTATTTTCGGAAACTCCCACATGCCATGTGCCTGGGTCACCAGGGCGAAGGGCTGCAAGCACTGAGTCCGACACATAAAAACTCCCAAAGCTGCATCTCCCTTTCCCCTCCCACCAACACCTCCGGCATGACGACCTTTCTGCTGCTGATGATGATGTTGATGGCAGTGGCAGCTAGTCTTGACCGCTTTGTCATGGGGTTCGTGCAGACGTGGGCTGGGACTCAGTTAGTGCTACTCCTTATCGTGCTTGAAATAAGTAACTTGATGTGCTGCAGGTGTTCATGTTGATGTTCGTGCTGATCAAGTCCTCATGCCCTAGTAGTAGAGTAGGTAACCTTTAGCCTTTTTAGGGTAGTATAGTGCGCATATAGTCCCTATATACCCAAAAACGTTAACCTTTAGTTCCCCAATGCTGGCTGAAACTCGTGTTGACCACGAGACGCTGTGGCCATGAGCAGCTTGTACTGAGGCACAGAGACCAATCCATGATCCCTGATCCGTAGCTACGGAGTTTCACAACCCCTACAAGCCTCCCTAAACCGCTATCAACTTAACGCGGGAAAGGTTTAGATTGGACGTGATTGGCTGTGGCGGAACAAGGACGTGGTTTGGTGCGCGTCACAGCCACGGTGCGGGACACCGTTGTGGGGTCGCCTGTCTGTGAGCCTAAATTAACAGTCACCACAACTTACAGTTCAATCTGCATCAACCTGTGTTAATTACTAGCCAACTTTTTGGGGTACCCTAAATATTAGGTGCCGTACTATATTAGGGACCAAAAAGGGACCCTAATTTTGACAACCACCCATATATAAAGCCTTGAAATAAGGATGCTGCTCTGTCGGACTCTAGATTGTTGTCCCTAAAGGCTAGGGGCGCAAATATTGGTGATGCCCATTACCAACTCCCCCCCTCTTTCCAGGCGCCCTGCGCTTCAGAGCCTTGTTTGAGTTTGAGAGAGATCTGTGGGTTTCCTGGTTTTCGGGCCTTAGGGTTTGTGAAGGGCTTTGACGAATTTAGGGTGTATCAGGGGTTTTGACGAAGTTACGGTTTACCTCTGGGGTTTACCAAGGGTTTTGACTAGTTTTTTGGTCTGAGGTCTTGAGGGACACAAACTAGCTAGTTAGGTAGTTAGGCAGTTAGTTAGTTAGTTAGCTACTTAGTTAGTTAGTTAGTTAGTTAGTTAGTTAGTTAGTTAGTTAGTTGCAGCAGTTAGCCAAGAAGCTAGCTAGTTAGTAGAAGACATAAATGAATGATTGCATAGGTAGGTAGAGAGATGGAGATAGATATCTACCACTAGATAAGTAGATAGGTCAGTAAATAAGTAAATACCTAAGCATACAGGTGAACATATGTGTGTGTATATCATATAGATAACTATATGCTCACATTTTTCAAGAGTCCTTTCAACCGTCATGGTCCTACTAGCTGGGGTCCAAACTAGCGTCTCTTTGTTTTCTCGTAGAAGGGGCCAAAAGGTTCCCATAATAGGGTTCATATTAAGAAATCCCTACCCCAAGAATCTTAAATGCCCCCTTTTGGCCTCCCATCATTTTCTCCAGCTGTCATCTGGGCTTCAGCGTTTTACGGCTTCGAGCCTAGAAGAGCCCAATGCCCCTTAATTGAGGGATATAGTTTAACTCGTAATATGAACCCCCTTATAATTAGTTTAAGGTATATAAATCGTAATATGAACTCCCTTATAATAGTTTAAGGTATATAAATCGTAATATTATGAACCCCCTTATAATAGTTTAAGGTATATAAATCGTAATATGAACCCCCTTATAATAGTTTAAGGTATATAAATCGTAATATGAACCTCCTTATAATAGTTTAAGGTATATAAATCGTAATGTGAACCCCTTTGTAATAGTTTAAGGTATATTCCTTAATTAAGGGGTACTGGGCTCTCTGGGGAGTTGGAGGTTTATGTTCTGCGGGATAGGCTCTGCAGCTTGGGCACCCTCGTCCGCGGTCTGTAGGGTTCACAGTTGAGTTTTGGATTGCAGGTACTTTCGTTCTCAGACCCCATCTCATGAGGAAGCCTGCAAAGCAACTACCATGGGAAATGGAACTCATTGTCTTGATTGCCCGGAACTGCACACTATGAGACGAGCACTAATCACCTTTTTATACAGCTTGCAATTTCGCACGGTTGCCTGTCATGCCTGACTAGTAACCCTCCCCTCCCGAAACAAAGGTATTTGCCGGGATCTTCGGGGTCCTACGAACCATAGCCTCGAAGCGTCCCTAAACCCTAAGCCCCTAAACCCTAAACCCCTACACCCTAAACCCTAAACTGGGGTTGTTACTCTGTGGTTTGCATTCCACCACATGGCCGTGTTCCTTCCGTACTTCTCCCGAGCCTAAGCCCGAAGCCCTATCCTTAAACTCCCTGAACCCCAAGCCCCTCCAAGCCCTAACGCCCTATAGCCCTAGACGTCGAAAATTACCCCAACCCTAGACTATCCTTAAACTCCCTGAACTCTAGGCCGGCCGCACGTCGAATGCAACGCCCGAGCCCGAACCACAGAAACACTAAACCTTACGCCAGATTCACCTGCCAAAACCTATTTTTGTAGAATCCCGATATCTTCTACATGGGGCCTTATGGCTTATAGTAAGACCATACGGAAAAGGTGGGTTAGGGTAGCTGGGTCCAAGTCCCAAAGATTTGGGTTTAGGTGGCACCTGAAGCCATGCAGTGTACAGTATTTTGGACCCCAAGCCCTCTATACTGTCATTGGGTACTTCGTGCCCCTGGGGTGTACGTGACAACGCAAGCATTAAACCTGAAACAGTTATATAACACTGAATCCGAATCATTGCGAGAACCTGAACAACGAACCCCAGTTTGAGCAACACCAAGCCGTAAAAACGTAACTCCAAGCCTGAAGCCTAAACCCCAAACCCTAAAAGCCTTCAACCCAACCCTGAACCCTAAACCGTGAGTGCTCAGGATTTTGGCAGCCCCTACTCTTTGCCGGCAAACCGTCAGTCGGCCCCTTTGGAGTTCACAGGAGCTCTGCCTACGGATCGGAGTTTCTTTTCGGGTTTTTGCTTTGGGTTCATGGTTTAGGACTCCTTCGGCAGATTTGTGAGTGCTTTTTGGGGTGTGATTATTGGTTGGCTAGTTTATTCGACCACCCCGTTTGGATGTAGCAGTAGAAAGGGTGAGGATTGTGCAGCAGCAGCAGCAGCAGCAGCAGCAGCAGCAGCAGCAGCAGCTTCAACAGCCGAACGAGGTGCATGATACGCCAATCACGTTTGCAAGTAGTAGAAAGGGCGCACCTCCCCGGGTTGCACACATCGCTCTTGATGTAGAAGCCCGGGTAATTGCCACTCCTATTCGCCCTAGTCTGATCAGCAAGGCTCTTGTACAAATTGCATATACGACTGATACTACAGTACCCCTTACAGTATCGCACCCCGCTAGAGCCGGATAGAAGAACGCTTTGACTATGAATGCGTCTATCTACTATCTATATATCTGTCTGTCTAACTATATATCTATCTATCTATCTGCCTACCGATCTAGCTACTTGTTTGTCCGTCTATCTATCTTCGTACGCTTCAATTGCCATATTTCGAATATGTGTGTATGCATGCATATATATATATATATATATGCTACCCCCCCCCAATTGACCCGCACGACCTCTGAATGTGTGTCGCCGCTTTTCGAGTCCACAGTAGTGCAACATCAGCCATCTACCTTCGTAGACGCTGACATAAGAAATGTCAGATTTCGTCTAACAGCTGTTCACCTTCGCGCGTGACCTTACATACAAGGCCGAAAAGCGGCGACAAACATTCAGAGGTCGTGCGGGTCAATACTGGGGTGGGGAGTGGGGGGTGTTACCACACAAAAGAAAAGGTGTTACCACATATGTATATACATATGTATATACATATGTATATATGTACATGTATACATGTATGCATGTACATATGTACTTATGTGTATGTGTATGTAAATGTTCATACATATAACGTATACGTAACATGTATTTATGTATACACACAATATCTCTCTCTCAAATATATATACCTAGACAATCCTTCGGCGTTTATTTTCGCCGCCAACGATAACGGCAATTATTCTCGCCGCCAGTTCCCAGAAAAGCAGACAATAAACAGAAACGCCGACAAAAAAACAAAAACGCCGCCAAGGACATTACACTTATGATGCTATGACAAGAATACCTTACACACGAAACAAGAGCAGCATGAAGCCCGACCGAAACCCTGAAACCCTGAAGCCCTGAAGCCCTAACAAGATTTGGGGTTGAGGCTTGGCGATGTTCGTGGTTAGGGCAGGTCTCACACAGACGAGGATTAGGATAAGGCGAGGTTTTGTGATTCAGACTCTACGACTGAAAAGTCCCGAAGGCATAGTGGCTCAGATGTTTGGCATACGATGTCTTTGATTAAGTGGTAGAACCTTGGAGCAATACTGAAGCCCTAAACCCTAAGCACCCTTAAGCCTCCCAGAACCACTCCACCCATCTTTGCAGGGGCTTCCTTCAAGGACCGTTGTAGCCCTGAACCTCAAGCACCTCTAAACCCCCACACCCCGGCACTCCAACCCTCATCTTTCGCCGGCCATCGTCGCCGAGCTGCTGGAGTCTGCTCTGCAGCCCTGGTGCTCCTTGGGTTTCCTGGACTTACACCCTAAACCTGATTAGGTTATACTATATTTAGGGAATGGTATACGTAGAGCCAGAGCCCGTGGAACACGTCAGAGCCGCAGATTCTGCTTGGACCGGCTCTGTCGGTGCCTCCTAATGAGAGCAGCTTTCTTCAGGAAGTGTCTCTGCAGCACCCGCTTGCTGATTGTTTTCACAGCAACTTTGGTCGATAGGGAACAGACTCGACCGATAAGGTCCTCTCCTTGCTCACACCCCCACATGATGGGGTTCGGGATGAGCTTTGCATTGGCCAGCAATGCTTGTCGGATCTCATATGCCACATGGTGGATGCCGTGGAATTTGGGTTTCAAGGCATAGAACGACATCTGCATCGTCACCGCATGTGCAGCCAGATGCTGGTAGCCCGACAGTACGGACATCAACCTCAAATAGAGACTTTGGGCACATGCCCTCCTCAGCCACAGACCATGTTTGTACATCAAAGTGAAGGCCTTCTGCGACTCCAGGATCGTCTTCTTCAGCACACGAAACAAAACAACATGTGCAGCAGGCAAGTTGGGTTTTCTCAGCAAGATCGTCACATAGAAGCTGAGATATTCCAACAAGAGCATGGTATCCGAACCTTTGGAGTTCGTCCATGCGAAGTCGCTCAACCGTTTCAGATTGAACAGCGACTTCGAAAAGTATCGCAAAGCTGCGGTCTTGTGGGATGCCAGTCGCCATAGTTTGAAGTGGGAGAAGCAGCGGTTGAGCCTCGACTTGATATTTGTATCATCGCTGCCACTCGGATCATCGTAATATCCAAGGCGAGCCAAAAAAACCAGGGAGCCACAAATATCTCGCCCAAGCCCAACTTTGAAAAGATGGAACATGTCATATTTCAGAACTCTTTCCGGTGCATCGCTGTCGTGAGGGACACTGCACATGGCAGGTGTCGAGTCCCAAGGTCGCTGCTGGAAAAGTGTCGAAGCCCAGGATGGCTCGTGAGCCAGCTCATCAAAAGGAATAGCCGCGCTCGTACCCGCCATGCAGTGTGCACAGACACCGTTGTAGTTCACAGGGCCCAAGCGAGCATAGTATCTGTTGAGATAAGCTATTTTTTCAGCGATTTGTTTCATATCGCCCTTGATCCCAACAAGGCAGGCCGTGTAAACCTTGCCACCAACCTCCAGGCCCGAAGAAAAAAGCTTGGTGAGCTCGTCAGCAACCTGCTGGGTCAACTGTTCCAAAACCGCTGGATGGTGTTTGTAGACCCAGTCTGGGAGGCCGAAAAGCACATGTCTGGTCAGGTAGGAGTGACCTTTATTTGTATGGCTTTGCTTCAGGGCGGCCTCCTCCATCGGCGAGTACGGGCCGTCTGCTTGCTGGCCCGGAACAAACTGCTGTGGAGCCTTCCCCACATCTTCTTTGCAAGTGCAAGTAAAGTCCTCGGCTACGTCCCATAAACCTATCGGCGACTCGATGGAGGCCACCACGAAGTTGCCTCGCTTCGGGCCCTTGCCTTCATCTGAGTAAAAAGCCAACGGAATCGTGGTTCCGAGGTCCAGCCCTCGCTCGAACACCGGATGGGTGCTGTGCGTCTGTCTGTAAGCCATCCAATAGGCCTCCAGCTGGAACTCCAAAGACTCGTTGCCCCCAGCGAGCAATGAACGATTTCGCTTCAAGAGATACTGCAGCCAGTCTTGCACTCGTATGTATGCAGTATCAGCTGTCTCGTTGTCGTCCAGTGCGAAGGTCTTTTCGGATACAGGCACCGGCAAAGATAAACCCCAGTGTTTAAAAAGCCTGTGGCAATCCCTCTCCTCGTTCGGTGCCTCTCGCCTTTTTGCCTCCGACTCGCCCGGATTCTGCAGCTGTCGCACCATCCGCTTGGTGTCCTTGGCAGTGGCCTCGGCGAACTAGTTTTCGGCGACAACTCGCTTTACAAGTAGGATTCGTGGCTCTGCTCGTGCGGGCTTAGGGTTGTTCTCATACCGGGTTTCCTTTAAAACCTTGAGTCTGGCCCTACACCCTACAACCTTAAAGACTTGGGTCTGGCACTAAGCCCTAGATTCTTAAGGATTTGGGTTTGGAGGTTTAGATTTGGAGACTTGCTTGTCGAATCGGACATAGGCCAAGCAAGGGTTGAAACAACAGTTCGGGCTTTCAAAAGCATTTGGGCTGCCTTTAAGACTCGAAGGAGGCTCGGTTCCTTAGGTGCGGCTTGCTTTGGGCTCGGGATCCTGAGACCTCACAAGGCTTCCTAGCAGTTTAGGCCCCGGACTCAGCAGATTAGGTACTGCCCCCACACAGTAACAGTCCATAGTAGGGCTAGCATGAAGATGCTAACTATAGATTAATATATCACATAATATATATTATATACATAATTCTACTGCTACTGAAGGAGGCAGTACCCAATCTACACACACCAACACAAGCTCTTTGGAAAGCAAGGACCAGATGGCTGAGGATTTAGGTGTTCTGATTTGCGGGAATAAGGTTTGGGCAGAGGTGTGGGTTTGGGGAGGTAATGGTGCTTGCTTATCGAAGTTCGGGCTGCTTGTCTTTCACAGAATACTGAATGGAGAATAAGGTGTAGAAGTATCATTGGAGAAATCATTGGCTTTAGGCCTCGTGGCTTTTTCGTATTGAGGCTTTGGGCACGGGTTTCATTCCCCTAGGGTTTAGGAGTTTAGGGCTTGGGGTTTTGGACCTGAAGGTCTATCGTCCAGGCTGTAATATTAAATTATATATACATACAAAAAGGAATCTTATGGTGCTTGCTTCTGAAAAGTTCGGGCTTGTTGTCTTTGGCTGAATGGAGAACAAGATCTAGAAACGTCCTTGGAGAAATCGTTGTCTTTGGGCCTCGGGGGTTCTTCGGACTTAGGTTTCATTCTCCTAGGGTTTTAGGACTTAGGTTTCGGGACTTGAAGGCCTGTCGTCTTGATTGGTATTGACATGCCTGCGATTGGGCGTAGAGCACCCAAGCCTAACCTTTAAACCATCATCTTCAGGATAAGCGAAGCTTGAAAGACTCCAATAAGTGCAAATAGCCTGTACTAAGAAGTAAGACTTTCCTGAAACCTGTACCCCCAAACCACCTTCCGAGGACCCCGACTCCATCCCCGAGCATTTCAGCATACTGTGCGACTCGCCCGAACGTGTCTTCGTCCGAGGAACCTGGCGTGAGAAGGATTAGGATTTCTGTTCGGGAATAAAGATTCCTGGCTTGGCTTGAGCGGAGGGGATCAGTATCGATGCTGTTCTTACATGCAGAGGGATACTACACACTGCCAGGGGCTTCTAGCTGTCAGACTTTGGGTGGCTCGCACACTAGATTATTCGGAGCTTCGACTTTGGAGTTTCGGGTTTAGGGTTGTGAGCTTTGACTTCTTGCGGGGCTCGTACACTAGATATTCGAGGTTTGGGCTTGGATTCTTCGGCGTACTCTTCAGGGTCGGCTGGGGTTTGGGGTTTAGGGTTGTGAGCTTTGACTTTTGCGGGGCTCGTACACTAGATATTCGAGCTTTGGGCTTGGATTCTTTGGCGTAGTTTTCCGGGTCGGCTGGGGTTTCGGCTTTAGGGCTCTGAGCTTTGGCTTAGGGTGGACTCGTACAATGAATATTAGAGGTTTGGGTTTGGATTTTTGGGCGTAGTTTTCTGGGTCGGCTGGGGTTCTGGGTTTAGGGTTCTGAGCTCTTAGGCTTCAAGCAGGGTGCAATCTTTTGGGCTCCACTCCGGAAGCTGTCGACCGGTCCAGCAGCTATTCCAAGCCACTGCTGCCAGCAAGCAAAACAGCTCAGCAGTTCTGTCCAGCTACTATTTGCAAGTTGAAGCATTATCACATGTCACTGCATGCCGAGCTGGTGTCCTATGCTTTAAGCATCTACTTCTTAGTTTTTTTAGCCGGCTTCTCCTCCTCCTCCTCATCTGGGTCCTGCGAGCCTCTCTTGCCAGCCGTTTTGGCCTTCGGAGCAGCCTTGGTTTTTGCTTTCGCCTTTGCCTCCTGCTTGCCCTTGGCTTCGGCTTGCCCGGGGAACCTTAGCTTGGAACAAGGATAGCTGGACCGAACATAATGCATTTGCGATGCAACAGGTGGCTTTGTGGTGAAGGACTAAGCCAGGTTTGGTGTTAGGGGTTCAGGGGTTTCGGGCTTGGGTGTGTAAGGCTTACGGGTGTCTGGGGTTTAGGGTTCATGGCTTTAGGGGTTTCGGCGCTCACACTCGGACACTCAGAAATCAAGGGGTTTGGGGCTTAGGAGTTCAGGGGTTTAGAACTGAGGGGATTAGGGCTTGGGGGTTTAGGGCTTAGGGGTTCAGGGGTTTAGGGCTTAGTACTGTAGGGTTTAGGGCTTAGGGCTTCGAACTTAGGCGATGGGGCTTTGGGGTTTAGGGCTTGGTACTTTAGGGGTTTAGGGCTTCGGGCTTGGAACTTAGGCAATGGGGTTTTGGGGTTTAGGGCTTGGGCGTTTAGGGGTTTAGTGGTTTGAGATGTAGGACAAGCGGCTTCAAGTTCTTCGATCGTTCAAAGACCAGCTCGGCCTCCACAGACCTTAAGCAGGGCTACCCATAGAAACTATTTGACCAGAACTACGACACCCTCTGACTACACACCGAGTTGCCTGGTCTTGGCCGCCTGGAAATGCGCCCGCAGCTTCTTCTGGTCCCTTGGCAGGATTACTGGTGAGATTGCATCCAAACAACCTACCCGGAAGCTACCTCTTCATGAGCAGCATGTAAATGATATGAGACGAGGCTCTCTTTCGAGAATCCAACCGCAATCCCATTGCTGTAGATGGTACTCAAAGCATCCTCCAGCTCGGCCAGCTTGTCCATCACGGTCTTGACAGAGACTCTGTACCTTAGGATTGTTGGCAAAAGCAGGGGAACGATACAGTCGCACAGGATAAACTAATCAGGCGAGGTTCTTCGATTGCGAGTCCGTCAGACTCGGCACAGCTTCAAGCTTGTCCATCACAGGTTGCAGCTTCTGAAGTCTCTTTTGCAAGCAACTCGCAACAGCCATGCACGAATCCTGAGGCTTCTTTCCCACTTCGGGAAAGTTGAGCTTCTTCAAGATGCGACCTGCTTCCTCGCCGTCGTCGCTGCTCTCGCCGCTGGATGCCCCATCACCTCATGGCTGCAAGTGTTGGCGATGGTTTCGGGGTTTTAGGGGCCAGGGCAATTAGGATTAGTGTTGGCATCAGTGTCTGGGTTCAAAGCCCGGTGTAGGGTTTAGGGGTTTTGGGTTTAGGAGTTTAGGATTTTGCCTAGGATTAGTGTCTGGGTTTAAAGCCCGGTTTAGGGTTTAGGGGTCTTGGGTTTGGGAGTTTAGGATACTTTCTAATTGGGTTTTGCGGAGCCTGTGTGGGGCTTGTAAAGGATCGGAATTCTGGGACCGGGAAGCTTGTCGTGTCTGGACCATTGAATCCCCAATCTCGGGTCTGGAACATAATCCTGTGTGGCAACAGCAAAATTCATCCCGAAACCCCTGACTTAATCTTCCAACCCAGTCCTTCAAGCCGTACTCGTTATGGCAAGAGAAATGCAGAGTTTGGCTCGGTGCAGATCGAAACATACGACTGGGGTTTTGCGGGAAGGGTTTTCGATTAGGCATTTAAGGGTGTGGGGCATAGGGCTTAGGGTTAAAGTTTGGGCTTCCTCTTTGTATAACTTTCGAGCTGGCATTGCGACGACTGAAAAGTAAACCCGATCCCTAAATAAATAAGAGCCAAAGCTACAGCTCGACAGCCCTAAACCCCAAAGCCCAAACCAGAAATCCTCCACCCCAAACCTAAACCATCCTAGACCCCTAGACCCTGGTAACCACAGCTCGACCGGTGAGCTCGAAAAGCAGCACGAGTGCTTCAAATCTCGTAGTACTAGCATTAGTATTACTAATGGTGTTATACTATTACTGTTATTGGTATTAGTATTAGAAGTAGCAGTAGTAGTAGCAGTAGCAGCAGCAGCAGCAGCAGCAGGAGTAGTAGTGGTAGTGGTAGTAGTAGTAGTAGTAGTAGTAGTAGTAGTAGTAGTAGTAGTAGTAGTAGTAGTAGTAGTAGTAGAGCAGTAGTAGTAGTAGTAGTAGTAGTAGTAGTAGTAGTAGTAGTAGTAGTAGTAGTAGTAGTAGTAGTAGTAGTAGTAGTAGTAGTAGTAGTAGTAGTATATAGTAGTAGTAGTAGTAGTAGTAGTAGTAGTAGTAGTAGTAGTAGTAGTAGTAGTAGTAGTAGTAGTAGTAGTAGTAGTAGTAGTAGTAGTATGGCAGCAGCAGTGGTGGTAGTTGTGTTAGTCGAAGTACTAGTAGCAGCAGCTAGTGGTGATGGTGGTGTTGCTAGTGGTAGTGGTAGCTCTAACTTTAGTGGTGGGGGTCGTGGAAATACTAACGGTCTTTGTACAACAACAAAGTCTGCGTGAATATATTCTTTCGAAGTTGGGATAATTACAATAGACCCTGTCAAACTAAGTCCTTGTGATAAACTCATCACTGGCGGCGTCACAGCAGTGCCTCGAATCCATACTACAAGTAAGTACCTACTAAACCTTTAGGGTGGGGTTAGGGTGCTGAATAACATTAGTTTGTTTAGTTGGTCCTAATGCAGACTAGCAAACTGAGAAGATCCCGGGCCTTCTTTCTCCTTGTCCCCGTCACCCTCGAGATTGAACGGGTAGTCGTCCATGGCCGACTCAGGATCCTCCATCGGCGCCTCGCCGTCGTCGCCCTCCAAGATCTCTGCCACCGTGTGGCGTTTGGTCTTCCTGAAGGACGAAGGATTGCCAAGTGGGGCTAGGGGCCGTTGCTATCAGTATCATTCGATATTCGAGCATAATCTTGAACCAGGGCACTTGTTGGTCCCCTTCACTCGCACAGCCACCCAGTACATCCACTCATCACAGTACTCGGATTTCCTGTGCGAAACGACCAGGATCAGAGAAACTAAAACTAATGATTATGTGTAGTGTGCATTGGGAACAAGTACAATATCTCCTCTTCCAGCCGGGGCGTTTCTCGCAGCTCCTCTTGGCACCTTTGATCTTTTTCCTGGGCTAAGGACATTGGAGAATAGCTGGATCAGTGTGCCACGTGAGCATGCATGAAGACACAGCTCTTTCTATTGTGTTTCATCTCAGTCACTCACTCCATCCCTTGTCTTCCATCTCCTGCTCTGTTAGGAACTCATACTCCGTTTCCACTGTCTTTTCGTTGATCTCTTCGTACTTGCGGTTGATTCGCTTCGAGAATAGCACCTGGCTCGGCTACACACGAAACATAAGTACGACTTACATTTTAAGCGAGGCAGTGAAGCGGGGTCGCATCCACATTTCTCGAAGCTGCGGTAGACTTCACCACGAGTGCCGAGGTTCCGGTAGGTCTCGATGACATCCGTAGGGATTTTGTATGTGCCATCCTCCCTCGGTGCACACAGGCGTGCCAGCCTTTTCATGAGTGTCGCTTTGCTCACCTGTGGGGGTGGAGGAACGGACTCTTGTCCGGGGTCATACTCATCGTCCTGTTCCTTGACCATCCTGGGCTTAGCAGGTGGGGCCTTGCTGGAGAGAGGGAGCTGTTTCGGCTGCGGTTTCGGTTTGGTTGGGGCTGCTTGCTTTGCACCACTCGCTTCGGCTTGGGTCTGGGTCTCGGGCTCGGCTGGAGCTTGTGGTTTGATGTGAAGTCCCTTGGCATCGGTCGGGGCTGTTTGCTCTGCACCATTCGGTTCGGCGTGGCTCTGGGTCTCGGGCTCGGCTCGAGCTTGTGGTTTGATCTGGGGTCCCTTGGCATCGCTTAGGGCTGTTTGCTCTGCACCAGTCGCTTCGGCGTGGCTCTGGGCTTCGGCTGCGGATGCTTGCTTCGGGGAGGCGGTCTGGGTGCTCTCCTTCTCCCCAACTTGCTGTTGCGGCTCCATCTCCAAGGTCTGGGGTGTCTCGGCAAGCAAGGTTTCCGGGATCTTGTGGGTGCTGCTTTCTGGCGAAGCCACTGCCGGGGGGCTCGAAACTTGCGAACCCGTTTGCGAGGAGTGCCAGGAAGCCCCACGATACGGAGCCTCCAGGTTTAGTAGCTAAGAACTACCGACAAAACTGCACTCATCAGGACACACTGCTGCTGCTATCGCTGCTCCTTGGCGGCTGCTGGCTCCACACCCTCTGCCTTCATGCGAGCCTCGGATGTAATGGGATTCAAAGAGGCGGGTAACAACCAGAGTGGCTGTCGACTCAATCAATCAGGGCACCAAGAGGGCTTCCCTTTGGGCCAGCAGGGCTTGCATTTGTTTATCATCATCCATGGCTCGGGGCTGCGGCCAAACACTTCCCTTTCTAGGGCCAAACCTGTGGGAAAAATGAGTCACAGCTGGTGCTCCATGATGTGTGCAGAGGCTGGAGAGGGTGTCCCGCGTAATCCCGCCGGAATCCCGGCCAATCCCGCGTGAATCCCGGCTATTCCCGCCGGCAATCCCTGAGGCCAAAAGCCCTCCCGGACCTCCAAAAGCCCCCAAAACCAGTAGCAGCCCCATCACAACCCCCCGAATACCTCAAAAGCAGCAATAAGCCCCAACAATACCAGCCAAACCACACATCTACTCCCTTCTCTGGCCCTTCTCTGCCTCTGTCCCTCTCTCCGTGTCTTCCCTCTCTCCTTCCCCTCTTTCCCTCGTATTACTCCCTCCCTCTCGCCCTAGACTTGTGCAGTAGCAATGCCGTTTCTCTTTTAGCACAGCCACAGCCAATCAATCCAGCTCATCCAGAAACTTGCGACCAGCAGCCTCTGCCCTTGACAAACAGCTGGACTTGTGATATCCCGGCATGTCTTTGCAGATTGAGCAGCAGTGGATATGTGGAGGGAATACCTTGCGAGCACAGGTCATGCAATCCTGCACAGGTAGCTGAGCAACTATATCGGCATTGACCCTCGAGCATTTCTTGCTATGTCGTTTGCTCTTTCGACAGCCAGCACAGCAGAACACATGAGGTTCCACAGCCATTCGTGTACAGCCTTCTTGGCAGCAGAGCCGTCGAGCAGGATTTCCATTGGATGTCGGGAACATAGTATTTGGCATCTCACACGATTGCATCTAAACTGCGATCCTGGATTACCCTACCTGCCACCTGTGGCCAAACCCGAATCGAATGGCAACCTGCTTATGTGGTTATCGAACACTTGTCCTTGGATCTGGCAGGCACAGCGTGGCAGCTTTAGAGCCCGACTTGCAGATTCAAGAGATTGGGCGGACAGTATGAGGGGTAAGGGCTTATCTATCTATGCGACGAAATATACTGTAGGCTGCCTTTGGCACGAGCCTCTTTCAGCACTCAGGACCATCTAGTTGCAAGGCTTCTCTTATTTGGGAGGATAACTTCTTATTTCAGGGTTTAGGGTTTAGAGGCTTTCTCAGGTTGCGGTTATGTATAAGCTGGGTTGGTAAGCCCCTTGCCTGGGCTTAAGCTTCAAGGTCTTAGGGTCTTAGGGTTTAGGGAGGGGTTTGGACTTTGGGCTTTTGAGGGTGTTCGGAAATCAGATGACACTCATTGGCCTGGCAAGCATCTGTGGAATTTCAGTAGTATTGGGGAGGAAAGAGTGTTTCAGGGTTGTGGCACGACAAGGTTTAAGACCTTAGGCTTTGGGGCTGGGGTTCCGCAGTTACCTTTTGAACCAAAGCATCGAAACCAGCAATCTCTGAAAAAAACCTTCGTTCCTGGAAAGACCATGGCTTTGGAAACAAGCAAGGGAAGGTGCATTAGGGACAACCGAACCGTGGGGTGTCGTCCTCTAAAGCCAGGGCTAGGGGTTATTGAGGGCTTAGCGTTTGGGGTTACGGTTACGGGACTGATGCGGGGCACAAATGCCTCAAAGCAACCCCCCTCTCCCGGGCCGGGAGAGGGGGGTTGCTTTGAGGCATTTTTTGGGGCCAGGGGGTTGTTCTAGGGCTGAACCATGGTAGGCATGTGTTTTCTGAGGGGTTTGGGCTTAAGTAGACCCGAACCCTAGAATATGAAGCTATGCTTTCTTGGTCAGAAGACAAAACCTGGCCAAATGCAAAGAGCACCCCAGGCTCTTCCGAACGACTACAGATTGTGGAGTGCATAGACCCGTAACATAAGCTATGCCGAAGACAAAACCCGACCCCAAAGGCAAAAAGCACCCCCGGCCCTTGCAATGGGATACAAAAGAAGCCTAAGCAGCAAAACCTAGATCCTACGTAGTAATTACAGAGCCGACTTCTACGATGACATTAGGCTGGAGTGCCTGTATGCTGTATGCATTGATCTAGGAGCACACACCCAACCCTCAATTTCTGCAGCTGCTGGGGTTTGTTGTCTCGGCCTTCTTCGTGGCTCTATGTCAGGACTCTAGGCATCAAGGGTTTAAGGTTTACGGTTTAGGGTTTCGGGTTCAGCTAACAAGACCAAACCCAAGCCTGCCCATAGACTGAAGCATAAGCCCCCGGAACCCCGGAACCTGAACAAACAACCAAAGAAGCTTCTTCACTCGAACCCAGGAAAAGCGTGGCGGCGGACTCTCTTCGGCGAGAGCACACTGCTGGAAAGCCCAGCAGGTCGTCATCTGGAGACAGGTACCTGCCAGCGTGGGGAATTTTGGCTGCCAGGAACCATCTGTGCACGTGCTACTCCTACAGAGTAGTACAGTTTTTTCGCTGCTTTCACGAGTAGCTGCATCTCTCGTCATGACTCATGCTTCCTCTAAAGGGCAGTGCGAGGCGACCCAACAGCCACAACTCTAACTTGTGACCTCACATAACAAGGTGCTTAGTATTTGCAAAGCCGACACTCGCCCCTGGAAAGCAGACACCCGTCATTGGACCCCTAGTAGATCCCAGAGAGCAGCACAGGAACGGTACAGAAAACGTGGCCCGAGTCGATTGACTCAGGATCATGGATCAAGCTGGCCGTCGGATCATACCACGGAGCCTCGGATACAGTGTCATGGCTGAGATTCAGCGAACTCGAGTATATTGTAGGCCAGGAAACTAAGCTTGTCAAGCTGGTCGCCGGATCATACCATGGAGCCTCGGATGTAGTGTCGTACTATATTTATTATATATGTCACAAACTGGACAATGCAACTACTTCTAGACAGGGAACTTTACTCCAGTGTCTTCAGAAAGTCGGCAGCCGTTTCCTTGGCAACCTGCACGTAGTCGTCGGTGTTCTCCAGCTCGAGCAGCTTCGGCTTGCACTGCTTCCAGTAGAGATCCTGCAAGAGCAACATAAGTGGGTTTAGGTTTGGAGGCTTTGGAGTTGTGGGCTTTCGGACTAGGTTCGGAGGGCTTTATTATTTAAGTTTTCAGGGTAGGGGGTTTTAAGGTTTAGGGCCTGAGCCTAGGAGATTTGGGGCTTTAGGAGTTTATTTCTTTGGGGTTGTCGGTCTTTGATCAATAGTTTACTTGGAGGGGCAGGGGACTTAGTAAGTAGGTTATAAGTAAAGTTATAAGTACCCTAAATGGAGTTAGCCCAATTATAACCCTACTTATAACCTTACTTACTAAGTCCCCGGCCCCTCCAAGTAGGGTCTTAGGCAAGCATCAACACGGTTTGAGACAAAATTGGAGCCCCTCTTTTTTCTGTTGTTTGTAAAATAGTAATTAGGTGTATGGGGTTTGGGGTTTTTGAGGGAATGAGATGAACGAGACTTTCACTCGGCACTCCTCGTACTTAGTCGGAGCTTTCACAAAAGGTCGCACAACCTCATAGAAGGAATCGCGGATGGCTGTCCACAGGATCAACGAGTCGCCCTGTGGCGGGTTCCGGCGTGCAAAACTTCTGGCAGCCGGCTGGTCTCCCTCTGCCTTTCGCTTGCGACCCCCAGCCATGGGTTCCTCTGCGCCTGCGGCTCCCTTGCACTTCTTGCTTGGCTTCTCATCATCACACTGCTTAGCCCGAGCTTTCGCTTTGGCTTTCGGCTTCGGTTCGCTCATGTCTGGCTCATCATCACACGGCTTCCCCCGAGCTTTGGCTTTGGCTTTCGGCTTCGGTTCGCTCTCGCCCGGCCCATCCTCAGACGGCTTAGCCCGAGCTTTCGCCTTGGCTTTCGGCTTCGGTTCGCTGTTGCCCGGCTCATCATCACACTGCTTAGCCCGAGCTTTCGCTTTGGCTTTCGGCTTCGGTTCGCTCTTGTCTGGCTCATCACCGGACGGCTTCGCCCGAGCTTTCGCTTTGGCTTTCGGCTTCGGTTCGCTCTTGTCTGGCTCATCACCAGACGGCTCCTCGTCCTCCTGAGGCGGAACCTTGGTCGGTTTGGATTTCGCCTTGCCCTTCGGCCAACCTCGTTTGCCTGCAGCTGCAGGCCTCTTCATCGTGCCCTTGCGTGCAGGCTTCTTCTTCACAACTTCGTCATCCTCCTCCTCATCCTCATCGGGATTCGGCATCTGGTTCTCCCTCTCTGCCATCTGAGCCCGCCGTCTCGTCTGCACCTTTTGGGGTTCATCGGGTTTCGGCAATTTAGGGGCTTAGGGCTTAGGGCTTAAGGATTAGTAAAGGCCCTAAACCCTAAACCCTAAACCCAGGCTCTTGATACCAAACGTGCACTGTTCACTTAGAACTCTAGGTTTGCTAGGCGTCTCTGGTGACTCGTGTGTTGAGGGCTTCGGTTTATGATGGGGTTTGAGCCCGGGGGTTCTAGGGCTGTATCGGGAGTTAAAGAGCCCTGGTCCCAAATGTATGAGTAGTTAGATTGCCCAAAAGCAAAAGCTGCTTGTACCCCAAACCCGGAAACCCTGTGCTACTGTATCAAAACCTTGGGTTACATAACATACGAAACCTAGATCTTTAACACAGCTCCCAAGACACAGTACCCTGCTGGATTTCTGGGCTGTAGGGTTTTTGGGAATCTGAAGTTTGGGCTTTTGGTGGTTCATATTTAGTGGGCTTCGTGCGATCCAAACCCGAAGAGAAACCTTAAAAAGAAGTAGAATGCCCAGCCTTCAAAGACAACAGATCAGGAGATGATTTCTCGCTGGCACTGGCGACTTCCAGCGAGACCGACTCTGGGCATGACTCAGGTGTTGGGGTCTGGGGTGGGGCCTCGGAAGCCTTGTCTGTCGGGGCAACGGAAGGGACATCGTAAGCTTGGTTCTTCTGGGCATCGGGGATTTCGGAAGCTTCGTCTATCGGGGCAACTTGTGGGACCTCGGAAGCTTTGTCTGTCGGGGCAACTTGTGGGACCTGGGAAGCTTCGTCTGTCCTGGCAACGGTGATTTCGGAAGCTTTGTCTGGCGGGGCAACTTGTGGGACCTGGGAAGCTTCGTCTGTCCGGGGAACGGTGATGTCGGAAGCTTTGTCTGGCGGGGCAACTTGTGGGACCTGGGAAGCTTCGTCTATCGGGGCAACTTGTGGGAGCTCGGAAGCTTCGTCTGTCGGGGCAACTTGTGGGATCTCGGAAGCTGCAGCTCTTGCCGGCGTGGCCACGGGTACTGAGCGAGGGGCCCCTTCTTTCGAGCATGAACTTTCCTGCTCCACAAGAGCTAGGTTACTGCAAGCACCTCGTCGAATAAAACAAGCTTCACCCGCTTCGAATGCTTCAAGCTCCTGAAACAACTCGTCATTCAGGACGTCTCCTTCTGCAACGATGGTCTGCTGGGTGTCCATGTGCTTCACACCTGGGCTGCATTGGCTGGGGTGTGAAATAGGATGTGGTCGCTATTGAATTGAAGGCTTCGTGTGGATTGCTTTGTCAGGATTATTTCTGCTGGCTGCGAAGTTTCCGAAAGCCGACAGCAATCCTCTTATAATTACCGCTAAGACCCGAGAAGCCTAAAGCCCAAAGCCCGAACAGCTTCCACAGACAATCCCCAATAGTTGCCACTAGGACCCGAGAACCCTAAAGCCCAAAGCCCGAACAGCTTCACAGACAATCCCCAATAATTGCCACTAGGACCTGAGAACCCCAAAGCCCAAAGCCCGAACAGCTTCCACCAGCAACCCCCAATAATTGCCTTAAAGACCCCAGAACCCTAAAGCCCAAAGCCCGAACAGCTTCCACCAGCAATCCCCAATAATTGCCATTAAGACCCAGGAACACTAAAGCCCAAAACCCCTAGCAGCCCTAGCACCTCACACCAGCAATCCCCGCTAATTGCCACTAAGACCCGGGAACCCTAAAGCCCAAGAGCAAGAAAGCCGTAAAGCCGCAATACCCTACACCAGCAATCGCCAATATATTTGCCACTTAGAGCCCAGAACCCTAAAGCCCAAAAGCCCGAAGCGAGCTCGAACGAGCTAAGGTCCTGGAGCTAGCCCAAACTGGCCCTAACCTAGAATCTTCAAGCCGTAGACCCGTGATGTGCAAGCTGAACAATTCGCTGAAGCCCTGACCTACAGCCACAGACCACATACCTGATTCGTGTGACAAAGACCTACAGTCCTCGAGCTTTGGGGTGGGAACACGATTGAGCTGAGGATCTGTTCCAAGCTTCGATGGTTCGCTGCCCAAACAGAGCTGCTCGTCGATGAGCAATCCGCTGCCTCGGCTGCTCAGCTTTATACTGTCGGACAAGAGCTGAAACTAGACTGCTGAGTCATCATGTGAAGCGAGATGCTCCAGTTCGGCCAGCTCTCTAACGAGGTCGATGCCTTCAGCAGGAACTCCTGCCTCGTAAGGCACAACCCGTGCCGTATCAGCATCTAGCTCGTAGGCTACTGTCCCCACGTATGCCGAAGGTGGCTGGGGGGATCCAGAAACCAGGCCCATGCTCTGAGCGAGGTAGTCATCAACCTCGCAAGGCTGTCCATCCTCGTCCTCGGGCTCTGTCAAAGTGTCTTCCTCTTCTTCCTGCTCCTCGCCTTCCTGCTGTTCCTCACCTTCCTCCTGTTCCTCTCCTTCCTCCTGTTCCTCTCCTTCCTCCTCTGCCTCACCTTCCTGTTCCTCCTCATCTGCAACAGCCAAGGACCGGCGGCTGCGAACCTTGGGCGGCCAATACTTGGCGACTGCAGCGAAGATGGCCTTGAGGCGATGATCCTCGAATGATGGTTGGGTTCCATGTATTCAGTCTGCAACCCAACACCCTCAAAGCTAAGAATCACAACATAAGCAAAGGGGCCTTCCTCTTGGACCCGTCGTGTCGCCGATTGATGTAACTCATGAACATCTTCAAGCTGTGACTGGTGCAATGGATCATGCCGGGCTTAGGGGTGACCTCGATCTCCTCAAAGTATCGTGTAACCTGATGGCTGCCACGAAGAATATCAAAGAACACTATAATGAATCGTGCACTGATATGAACTGAAATAGAGCATACGGCTTGGATGTAAACCAAGTAGCTTGCTCCTTCAGGTTCTGGACAGGCACGGTCTTCTGCGACTCGTTGTTAGGACAGTACACTTCTATCAAAGCCAGGAGAACTTTGTGGTTCAGCATGAGAGACCTCTTATTGATTTTTCCGACCTTGGAAGGATTCTCCCACTCCAACAAGCTTCCCTTCTTCCTGGAAAACTTGCGGATCCCACGGTTTTCTTCCCAGGCCTCCCAAAGGCCTGATAAATCAACATCCCTTCTGGGCCTGACCGCCACTCTGCGAGGCGGCGTCTGCGGTTCTTCTACCGCAACCAAAGCCATGGTTCAGTGTGGCTGAGAAAAAGCGCTCGAAGTCAGTTGTGCAAGAAGTACAGCAGTTGAAATTAGAGTACAAGTACAACGATTGGAATTAGGGTACTGCTTGGAAGCTAAAGCAGCTATAATCAGCTAAAGTCCATCTGGGGGCTCCTCTAGATCCGGCCAAAAGCTTCAGAGCACCCAAGAGTTTTCATGCCATGCATACAACTGAAGCAATGAAGACACAGCTCGGACACAAGGGGCACCGGATCCAGGCTTATCAGCCAACCACACAACACCTGCAGCAAGTCACTGACAATAAGGGAGGCTGTGCGAAGGTTCTGCAGGCCTCAGGCTCGTCCAGTTGGCTCCGCCGAAATACCTGCAAGAATCGCTTGGTTGCTTTGATTTGCTAAGCCAAAGATTGCAACAAGTGAGGGGCACACGGGCACCCAGAGGGCAGCTGCAAATGAAGCCCTGCCACAAAACGTAGATTTTGGAGCGTGGGTTTCAGGGCTAAGGGTTTAAGAAGTTCCGGATTTGCTGGCCTCGTCCATCTCCTTCGAGCAACCGAAGCCATCCGCCGAAGGGTCGCCGGGCCTGAGAGGACATCTAGCTTCAGACAGATATATTAGAGAGAGAGAGTGAGAGAGAGGGAGGGAGGGAGGAAGAGGTGAGACAGAGGGACAAAGAAAGACCCCACACATGCTCGGTTTTGGACCATGCCAAAGCCAGTCAAAGCCTGCGAAGGCAAAGAACCAATCGTGGGAATATAATTCTCGTGATAAGCAGTGGCGTGGAGCTATGCATCATGCTTCATGCTCGAGGCTTGTTTCCCAGGCTCGCATCGTTGGCACCCGTTCAGCATCTACGGCTCACTTGGATCTCGAGGTTTCTTCGTGTTGGGGCCCTTCTCCTTGACGGGTGTCAAAGGTTCGCCCTGGAGTCCTAGGCAGCATGAAATGATTCCAAATCTCGCACGGCTTGAACTCCTGGAGACATGACTGGACTTGCAAGTGCATTCGGAGGCTCTAATCTTCTCTTGGGCCTGCCAAAACTGCTTGGCCAGCTCACGAACAGAGCCTCCTTCCTTGTAGTTCGTCACAATCGCCTCGATCTCGGCAGCACTGAGGATATCCTCGGAAAGATTTGGATCTTTCAAGGTTCTTCTTCCAAGCTATTAACACAATGGGGTCTCTGTGCTTTTAAGTGGCATGTGGCTTATCTGCCTCCGGCCACAGAACACCCTGCACCTCATGGAAGAATGCCAAGGGCATGTCCTGGAGTCCTGGAAATTTGCAGGGTCCAGCATGAGAAAAGAACATGATTGCTACAACTCTTGTGAGAAATCTAGTCAGTCCTGCTGACTGCAACAAACGAAAGCTCTCCATGGGAACAGGCAGATGCTCCCCCATGCTTTCAGCTTATTAATGATTGCTCTAAGTGATGTTCTTGTGCCAACAACCACTCGATCTCGAGCCCAACCGCTGATGAATTCGAGTTCCCTGCTTCTCACGATCAAGCAACTGTCTCAAACAAGAAGAAACATGCAGCAGGAAGCTGGGCACACCTCGAGAGGGCCAGGGGCAGCCGGAAGAGAGCCCAGAAAGGGCTGCGACCGGCCACCAATCAAGAAACGCCTCCAAATGCGAAGTCCCGCCGACAAGCTCCCAATCCCGCCGACGGCCGGCAAAAGGCGATTTTGCCCGGCGCCGGCGTTTATTAAAGGCGTAAAGATTCCCCAGGTATATATATACACATATATATATATATATGTATCTACGTATATTCGCAGAACCGACCGAGGAGCTTTCCCATCCGTCAACGGCGGACCCGCCGCGATGTCCAAAGAGACGTCCTGGTGCCGCAAGCGCTCCAAGACTTTGAGCACCCTTGCCGTATAGAAACCCTAAACCCTAAACCCTAAACCGTGTTTAGGGTTTAGGGTTTAAGGAGGCTGAGGGTCCATGTGCCCACATAGGGTTCCTTTAAGGCTCCTTTAAGGATTCTATGAGGGTTTAGGGTTTAAGGGTAGCAAAGCCCAAACAGTCGGAAACCGGATTAAGGACAATTAGTGCTGGAAGTCCCTACATACTACTCTTAAGGACTGGTGCTATTGGGTTTTCAGCTTTTGGGCTTCTACTGTAAGGGAAACCGCTGGGGTTTGCGGTTCAGGGCGTTAGGGTTTTACGGGTTCAGGGTTGAGGGTTTTGGTGTTTTGAGCACCCCTGGCTTTCAACGGGCTCCCAAGGTGGGACAGGGGCCTGAATAATTACCTGTGGGGCCCCTTTAAAGGGTTTTACAAAGGGGTCTACAAGGTATCTATGGTAGACTTTGAGGACCCTTGCCTTAACCCTAAGGGTCCATGGGTGCCCAAATAGGTTTCCTTTAAGGGCTCCTTTAAGGATTCTATGAGGGTTTAGGGTTTAAGGGTCCATGTTCCCAAATAGTAAATGCTTTGGCCTTGGAATGAAGATACGTAGTATAGGGGCCTGAATAGTTATCAATACTAGCTTGGGGGCTCCCTATTATAAGAACTATATGGTATATGGTATACCTTAAAGGCCTATTCTGGTTACTAAGCCCCCTATACTAGGTGGGATCATCCCAATGAAGAGCCCATATATGGGAGTTTCCGAAAATAGGGGTCCCTAATATGGTACCCTAAATAGTAGGATCCTTATTATAAGGACCCCAAAATATGGTACCCCTATTTTCGGAAACTCCCATATATGAGGGATCCCTTCCTCCTACCTACACTCGTCCCACCTTGGGAGGTCCCTGAGCCTTATGGGTAGAAACGGCTGAAGTTTGCGGTTCTGGGTTTCCAGGGTCTATAGGTTCAGGGTTGAGGGTTTACGGGTTTAGGGGTTTAGGGGTTTAGGGGTTTTAAGGTTTAGGGCTTTTAGGGTTTATGGGTTCAGGGTTGAGGGTTTAGGGTTGAATGTTGAGGGTTTAGGGGTTCGACAAAGCTTGCTCTGGTCACAAGAAGTGTTACTTCAAAGGGTTAGTCCAAGGGTTACGACTACCAGGGCTTATAAGGGTTTACTCCGTTCAGGTTCGGGGGGCACCGTGTACAGTGCATGGCAAGCAGTGCACCTCATCTCCTAAGCCGCGAATCCTAAACTCTCAACTTATTTTCCGTAGCGAGCCTGAACTCTGAGCCTGCAGCCTCAAAAGTCTGCAGCCGTTACAAGGGATTTTGCACGGGAGCTCATGTGAGTCAGGAATTCCGAAGTGGTGTATTCAGGTTCAGCTGCCAGTATCCTATGGCACCATGTATATAAGCAGTTAGAAGCATAACGTTTAGGGTGCCGAGTTCTAAACCTGAGACCTTAGAACCTGCATTCCAAACCCCAGACTCCTGAACCTTAAACGCCGTAGAATTGTAGAACCTTAAACTATAGTACCCTTAAAGTAACGACCGTAGCAATCCTTACTACGATAGCAACCTTTATGGAAACCATGATGGCTTCCCTATATACATGAAGCAGAAGCTCTAAAATCCCGCAACCTCCACAAGTTCTATCCCCAAGCCTGAATCGTATAGTCATCCTTACAGAACCCTTCGCCGAACCTTTAAAGGAATCCCCAAAACCTTATGAAATCCCATAAGCCCCTGGAAAACCTTTTAAACACCCTAAACTTTAAACCATCCCCTGCAAGCCCTAAATCTCAGGTGTGCTGGAGGCCGAGCGGAGATTGCGAAATCAGATCCGCAGCAAGACGCCCTTCCTGGGAGAGGGTTCAGGGTTTGGGCTTTAGGTTTTAGGGTTGGTAGAGTGAGTGGTGAAGAGTTGAGGGGCCTAGGGGTGTAGGATCTGGGGTTCAGGGCGATGCGGGGCTCAGGGTTACAAGCAAAAATATGTTGCTAGAAAGGCTGCTATACACGTGTAGGATACTTGGTTTTAAGGTTCAGGGCTTTATTGTTCAGGTTTTGGAGTTTGAAGCTTGTATAGGTTACTACAAGGCTGAACGCTTAGTACAAGACTTTTGCAGTTTTAAGATTCGGGGTTTGCGGTTAAAGATTAAGTTTGGGGTGTGAGGACCTTGGAAGGATGTCGCAGTGCCGGTTTGACTGCTGTAGAAGGGTTCCTCTAAAGGGTTCTATAAGGGGTCTATAAGGGATCTATAGTAGGGTTCTATAATAATGTAAAAGCCTAAATCATTACCTAGGGCTCCTTTCCATCACGGTATTGTACTGTACGCCCAAAACCCTATTCTACTTATTAAGGGCCCTAAAGTATGTGTGCGGGCCTCAGCTTCAGGAAGATTTCGAAGCTTCTTTGCAAGTGCATAGTCTACAACGGAAAGTCCACTAACACGTCGTGTAGAAAAAACAGATCTCTGCGAACTTGTCCCGGTTGAGGGTTTAGGTTCAAACCCACTGCGGGGTTGAGTTTCACATCGCAGCGATCACATATGGGAGTTTCGGCAAAGAGGGCACCCTAATATAGCACCCTAAATAGTAGGATCCTGATTATAAGGACCCGAGAATAAGGTACTGCTAGTTTTCGGAAACTCTCATATATCGTACAGTAAACCACGCCTGACCTCCACATCAGCATCTTTTCCATGTCAGAACTGCCGCTATCTCCTTTGCGGGATCGCTCCAAGGAGATTCTCCCCAGTGAAGCTTTTGAGTATGCTGGCCAAGGACGGATGTAGCAGTGCTTGGTGTAACTTCCATGTTAAACGGATACTATAGGACTTTACGATGCTTACGGTTATAGTAACAGTACTAGCCTACTTCTATTTACAGTTGTAACAGTACTACCGTTACGGTCGTATTAGTAGTCGTGGTCGTCGTAATTGCAGCAGCAGCAGCAGCGGCGGCTGTTGTTTCAGCAGTACATGTAAGTCGTCGTCGCCGCCGGCGTCGTCGCAAGAAACGGGAAGAGAGGCCTTCACGGAATAAAACGTAATACAAGGCGTAAGCTTGTAAGGCCCAACCAAATATAATGTCTAGTACTAATTCGGGAGTCTTCATTATAGTTGTAGCATTAAAATACCCTGTTGGTTTCGCTGCAGTAAATCGGAACTTATCATAGCATGGCTGCTGTTGCAAAAACTGCAAAGATGCACTGTCTTCACGAGTTCTCACAAGCTCTTTAGAATCCTGAGAATAGCCGCTGAACGTTTGAAGGTCTTTGTTTCTGCGTTCCTGGTGAGGTTCAGGGCGTCATGGTTTCGATCTCAAGGTGATTTGTCAGGGTTTGTGCCGGTTGAGGTTGTCAGGTTTTGCATTCCTCGTTTCTGGTCGAAGGTGTTAGAGTTTGGGTAATTATGTGGTCCCTTGTGTTAGATGAGGGTCTTAGGGTGTAAGGTTGACTTTCCCCTTTAGTGCTCTAATGACTGGAACCCTAAACCCTAAACCTGTGGCAGAAGCCGCCAGAAGCTCCCAAACCGTTCGCAGGACCCGAACGAGCGTCGCGCTGTGCGAGATCTTCAGGCCCTGTCCCGGAAATTCAGCCGGAGAGGTAAAGAGCCTCCTGACCCAGAGACTCCAATATCCCTCGATTAAGGGATAGACCCTAAATCATATCAGGGATCCTACTATAACTTAAGGTATATATCTTAATTAAGGGATACTGGAGTCTCTCAGGAATAAAACTCGCTACTTCCGAGCTTGCGGGATTCTGTCGTTGGTAGCAGCATTGTCATATCTGCACTCGAAATGCAGAACCCTTCTCTCGTTAGTGCAGCGTTGACCTGTCCAGGGCACGTGTGTTCGCAGTCTAAGAGTCTAAGACGTTGACCTTCAGAATGCGCCCTCGAAGCGCATGGGTTCGCCAAAGACAGTATAGATTTCTTCTTTGGGCCCCTAAACTCAAAACCCGACCCCCCTCCCCCCCCCCCCCACGCCCTTTTTTAAGCCCTAACCATGGCTTGCTGAGCCCCAAGCCTTGCCGACAAACCCATAAATTCCCGAAGGGTCCTGTGTTACTGTTATAGGGGATACTTCCCTAAGGCATAATAGTAATTCCTAATATGGAAACCCTACATTCTGCTGATTCTACTATATCGGTACATTGGACCCTTTGGGATTCCAAAGGCCCTAATCTTCAGCCTTTCACTGCACAGGATGGTCAGGCACTTTTCGGTTCGACACCGCTTGGCAGCCAGGGCGCAGCCTGGCTGGTGGATGTTCCATGACTTTTTGGAGAGGGTTTAGGGTTCATGAGGGTTCTTAACGGTTTTAAGGTTTGAAGGGTTGTGGGGCTTTGAGGTGCATTCAATATTGTCAATACTACTCCAGACCTTTTGCACCGCTAGA